ATCAGAAACAGATTGGAAAGATATAGCTGTTTGAAAATAAAATAATAGTACACATTTTTAAAGAACGATGAATACCTACACCTATTTTAACAAAAACGTACACCTATATACGTCCACCAACATTGGTATACGGGATCGTATACCTTTTTAGACATAAGGCTGTTTTTAAACTTCTTATTTAGTTTTGTAATATAATTTAATTATTAATACATCTTCATATTTAGTTTTGCAATAACCACAACAATAGGAAAATATATTGAAATATTAAAATGTTAAAAACAATCGACAAGCGACCATACCACATCAATACTAAAGCATGTATGATATGTGTTGTGCCGAACATCTAAGATAACATTTTTCACATTTAACAATTTAATGCAAATTCTCGTGATACACTTCGCACGGCGCTTCGGTTTCTTCATGAATGAGACTAGGGTACCTAAACTTTTTCTTGTATGTTTTTTTTATTACGTGGGCAAAATGACCAGAATAAGGATACTATATCTTCGGCGACTTCACGAAGTTCACGAGAATGATGAGGATAGTGGTACCTGAAAACTATCTTTAGAAGTTTTTTCCCTCTGTTAGGGCGACCCACGCACATTTGCAAAATGGCACAGCTGTAAGTGGCATAGACGTCTGATGGAACGAGCTTATTTATGGCGGTATAGATCTTCTCCTCTGTTGGCGGTATAGATCTTCTCCTCTGTTGACACGAACCTTATAGATTCGACCAATATGGCCTGTGGATTTCTCGACGCTAAGCAGCGCAGGAATAAGGGCCGATATACTCCACCAGGGTATATCCGAGATGGTGTGTCATGCAATGTCCATATGTATGCCGATCTGAGTACGCTAAACGCAATGTCTCTACCACGGGTCCCTGCCAGAATAATCGGTCCAAGGTAGATGCAGTCAGACTCAGCAACTTTCTTGACAATGATTTCGAAAACATGATCTGGTAAATCTGGTAAATCTGGCATTTTTTGGGAAGGTTATTGGGTTTGTGTACGGTGAACTTTCTTCGCAATATTATGAAACTATATATTGAATTTGATGGGTAGTTCTTGTTGAGAAATAGTTAATGGTAAGACAATTAGTAGTTGCAGGGTTTAATGTGTAGATGAACAGAGTAATATTACAATAAGTTTGTGAAGTGATGTTTACTTACTTTGTTACAACTACAGAAATTAAACTACTAGTTACATTGTTACAACTAGTTACGTTTGTAGTAGGTACTTGTTACAATAATTTTGTGAAGTGATGTTCACTTACTTACTACCTTTAATTTATTACAAAAAGTAAACAAGTACTTGCAATTAAAATAACTAAACTAAAGAAAATATCTTATGCGCAGAGCCATGCATTGTAGAAGGCAATACTCGCAGTCTGGTGTATTTGTGCCATCGTAATGCTCATCTACACACTCCGATATAGGTTCTTCTTGGAGGGTGATGGGGAAGGACCAAAGGCTACCCCACGTATCTTTAAACGGTCCTAGAGGGAACTCCCATACGTGATGTATAACGTCGTGCGCTAACAGCTTCATTTCATTAGCCGCATAAGGGACGTGTAGAGTGAATACATACGTGAGGAGTTTTTTAGCCCTTCGTGGACGTCCGACGCAAATTTCAAACATGGCACATGCAAAAGTAGCATGTTTATCACATGGGACAAGTCGGTTAAGCACCCTAATCGCTGAATACAATCTTCGCTCACGCACGGCAACTCTAATGGCTTCGAAATAAATAGCTCGTGGATTGTAGGCGCGAAGACAACGCTCAAAGAATGGGCGGTAAGGGTTGTTAGGGGATACGTCGATCGGTGAACGCGATGGCTCTTCCACGTTTTCCTGCGCGAATAATGGAGCCAAGATGATAGGAGTCATCCTCAGCTAGTTTCTTTACTATTAACCCTAAAACATCATCGTCTAAGTAGTGCATTGTTGTTTAACTGTGGTGACAAAGTAAATATGATTCGTTTTATTTGTAGACAGGGTGGATAGATATATAAATGTCCTAATTCATGGTTGGTATAAAGTTAAGAGCCACTTCAATAACTGCTAAACTGACCCCAACAGGTCGCACTACATTATAAATGAAACTAGTTTCGGGCACTTTAATAAAAGCAAACTGACCATTACTCTTTAAAAATGGTGCGTAGAAAATGGTTAGGTGAAATATTTACTAAAAGGCAGAACACTATTATATTATTTTTAACCGTATAATAAATTCTCCACCCCCCAACCACACACCAGTGAAGTCCATACATGATGATTTTGCTTTGTCTTAACTAAACTTGCTTCCTTTCCAACGAAAACAAACCCTAAACCAAACATAACAAACCCTAAACCGAACATGACGCTCCCAGACTTGCCTGATGAAATTCTTATCGAAATCCTCAAGAGGCTCGGCAGTGAAGCATTTTGGCGACTCGGACCATTTCTCCGCGCTGGAAGGTGCACCCTCCGGCTTGTTTTCAACGATGATGTCCTCAAATCTAGCAATATTTATGCCCTTTGCTGTGTCCCCAACGACATATGCCCTGGAAAGGAAAGACGCCCATTCTTTCTGAAATGTTTGGCGAGTGGAAACCCTGAGGCAAGATACTGGGAAGCCCTGAGACTTGCAACCAGAGGCGCAGATCTCATTGCAGGTAGGACCATGCTGGAACCAAATGTTCCCACCGACGCTCTCTCGACCCTGGCGTCGGCCATGTTCAGCGTTTGCTTGGGTGACCCTTGTTCCGCAAGCCAAACATTGCAACTGTTGGCAACGCATCACAGAAGTCTACAGCCAGAGCGCGTGAGACAATTAGGTGAGGAGTTAATTCTTGAGATTTCATATTACGGAACTGCATACATGGATACGTACTCAAACTCATTTTCATATCCAAACGACGACGTCATCAAGCTGCCTGATTGTGCATTTGATCATTTCGAACCTGAGATCCGAGTACTTTGCAATGGTTGCTTCATATATTGGTGTGCTAGGCGTATCTGCGAAATGCTTTAAAAATAAGTTTATGGTGTACACGAGTATGTGTAGACTATATGAAGTGTACACCTATATTTCATTTTAAGTATGTAATGAAAATTCTTTGAATTAATATTCGATGACTTATGTTTCATATCAGATACATATTTACGTAATTAATCACGAAACTACCAAATGGTTGGACAATTTATGAAATCATAGACATAAAAACATAAATTGATATAAAAAATTTAATAAAAAGCATAAATTGATATAAAAAATTCACGACTTCATGCTCCTCCGGCGTGCTCCACCGTCCATGCAAGTGCAGTGGTTTCAAAAGCAGCCCTATCTTCCACGTAAATCCTAGCAATTTCTTCAACAAAAAATGTCCTTCACTTATTTGGGGGCCAGTTAACATTTGATGTATTTCCGTTAAGCCCTGATTTAATCGAAATTAAGATTATTAAGCAAAAAACAATAACGATTTATTTCTTTCATAAGTAAAAATACATCATTGATGCTGTTGTTGGTCTTGAAGTGAGTTGGGTTCAACATCTTAAGAAAAATGTTCCCATAAGTATTAACGTTTGGGTGATACACTTTTGTTTTGAACATCACCTGAAAAAACAGTGTTATTAGTAATTGAAATCTTTTTTGACTAAATCCAAACCCTAAAAATACAGCAATTTGAGGGAGCAAGCATATGCTTCATTCCTTACCCTCGGTGGCACGAAAGGGTAGTCAAGCGGAAAGTGAATATCTAGTTTGAAAACACCATTCTCATAGGGTGAACCTTTAGGCCCCGTTATGATAGCTTCCCAGTGATACAAGTCCTCACCCACAGGTCCTAATGAAATCGGCAAAACACTAATGAAGTAGACGATGTAAAAGACCGATCTCCAAAAACTAAAACTAAAAAACTCCCCTATTTTCAAAAGAATCATCAAATACCTGTACTGAAACATGCATTGTTTTTCCTCTCCACTTCCTTTAATTGCAATGAGATAACTTTGGCAGAGTACATTTTTAGAAAGTAACTATTAATTTTCTGTATAATTATCTTAAGCTGTAATTAACTTTTCCTGTCTCCGGAAACTTGTTTCACTGAAGAAGGCAGGGGACAGTTTTTATAGAGGACGACAGGAAAAACGTTTTAAAGTAAAGAGAGCAAAACGAGTCGGTCAAACGGTGCAACGGGTTTCTAAAAAGGTACTTAATTAGTTTTTGTCGTTTCCAATTTGATTTTTTGGGTCGCGTTTATTCCTCATACACTGTTTTCCATTATTGCGGTTTTCAAAAACGCAATGACTTGATTTTTGAAAAAACCGTTTATTTGTGCTGTCCTGTCCTACAATTTCATTTCAAAGACACGATCATTGTCCGTTTTCTAGATAATGTTTTCTTTCTCTGCTATAAAACCATGTCTTTGATAATTATTTTGATCCAGAACCATGTCTTTGATAATTATTTTGATCCTAAACCCTAAACCCTAAACCCTAAACCCTAAACCCTAAACATAAGCCATAATGTGCATACACCTAAATTTATATGCGTACAACATAAGCCATTATGCGCATACACCAGATAATGTAAACTGATTCATGTTGTCCACCATCACAGTGTACACAAACTGTGTCCACTGTCACAGGTGTACACAAACTGTGTACACCTTGTCCAGTAAACATCATAAATTTTATAACAAATATAACATAGTTCATGCCTTGCCAAGTTTAAATATAGGGAAACATAGTTTACGCAAGAAACAAAACCGAAATACAAACCGAGATCCCCACAAAAAAAACCAACAAGAGACACACAAAAAACAATGTGGCTCGCTCTTTCCTAAACACAACAAAAGACACACAAAAGCCACACCCGGTCAACCCAATGGTTCCTTGCATTTTGCCCGGTTATGGCCGGGATTTCCACATCTCGAGCATTTGTTTGGCTTCTTTTTTTTCGCAACCTGCAACAGCGTATATCAGCAATCAGTAATCAGTATGACTAGGGAAAAATAATTGTTTAGTGTACACTAATCTGAGGATACTCTCCTGCTGAAAGTTTCCTCTTCGTCGTAGGCCTTCCTGATTGACGTTTTGACTTAGGTGGCATAATATTCAGGTCACGCACCTCTGCTGGGATACGAATGTCGTCAGGGTCAGGCACTGGTAGGATTTTGCCACAAACTGTTGCACTCCAAATTGATTTCTTAAGAATTGGATCAACCAAACTGTTGTACTCTACTTGGCGAAGCCTAGCCGCGACCATTGCATGTCGGCAAGGGTATTTCAATGTCTGAAACTCTAGACATGAGCATATTTTTTTTAGGAGATCAACATGCCGCCTTACACCGAACTCAGAACTCACTTCAACCTCCCACAAAGAAATGCCTTGAACTGATAGTGCAGCAGATTTTCCAAGCTGCAGGTTCATTAACTTGTCAACTTCTTCTGGAATGTCACCATCCATCTTTTGAATTTTCTCTCTTCTGCGTTCATGCCACCTACTTAACATTCGCCTGATAAATTCTAGCATTGCAAAAATTGGACTGTCTCTTGCTGCGAATAATGCATTGTTCAGAGACTCCGCAATGTTACTGGAGGTCATATTATACCTCTGACCAGAAAAGTGTGATCTAGTCCACGGTGCAAGAGGGATTTTTTCCATGTACTCCCAACAACGATAATCAACATCCTTCAGCCTTGCGTATAGTTTCTTGAAATTAGAAACTGTGAACGCTTCTCCAGCCTTTCCGACCAACCCTTTCTGATCGGAACCTTTGTATTTACCGTGAACATTTCTCTGGATATGGACAAGACATGCACCGTGGTGTGACTGTCGATACAATTTCTTTTTATCTTTGGCAATTCCACTGTGCCTATCCGAGATAATAGTAAGATCACAGGAATCTGGAATAATGTCTACCAACTTCTCAAAGAACCACCTCCATGTCTGGTCAGACTCTTCATCGACAACGGCGAACGCTATTGGAAAAACCTGGTAATTAGAATCTTGTCCACTGGCCGTTAATAGACAACCCTTATACTTACCAGTCAGGTGAGTCCCATCAACAACAACTACTTGTTTCAAATGTTTCCATCCAGATATAGATGCAGCCAATGCCATAAATACAGATTTAAACCTGGTGATACCTTTTCCATCTATTTCATCTCTCTCGGTTATCAAATGCGTTATGGTGCCGGGGTTAGCATACTTGAGCACATGGAGGTAAATCGGTAATAATTTGAAAGAAGTCTCCTCTGTTCCGTGAGCAGAGTATATAGCCAGCTCCTTAGCTTTCCTGCATTTCCAGTATGAGGCTGTAATATTATATTCGGAGAGAACAATCGCAGGTAGCTCACTCGCACGTGGACCAACTATTGCATTCTCGTACTTAGACTTCAGCAGAGCCGCCATGACTTTAGAAGTAGCATGCTTAGAAAATTTCCTTCTTGTATCCGGGTGGCATGTATGCTTCAAGCACGCCTTCCTCACCTCATACAACGCAGAGTCGCCAACTTGACACCCCAACACCCTCCAATCACATATCTTTGCTGGACATTCCGGCGACTGTGCACTTCTTCGCATGCTTTTTGAATTCGAACGTCACTACATTCTTCAGTGCATTGATGGCCAACGTGATTTTAAAGTGTTCCTTGTTCCTGAACTTTTTCCCAACCCATATCTCTCCATCTTCATTTGACAAATCAAGTTCATCGAAATCCCCTCCCATATCATCAGAGACTGGTGCCACATCCGGAAATCCATATAGTTCTGTACGTTTAATCGCTTTCTTCAGCTCTGCACCGCCATTCTGACGCCCCCAAACGACATCACCTGTCGGACTCTGCACAAAATCATCATCATCTCCATGGGGAGCCAGAACCTTCTCACATACAGTCCTCTTTCTTCCAGGAAAATGAATAGGACTCTCCATTAAGACAATGGAGTTGTCCATATGGTTTGAATCACTCGGCTCAATTCCGCGACTACTTCCACAACCCCCTAAACTACCAGAGTCATCCTTATCCTCATCAAATCCAGGTTTAGAATGGAAACCCTTACCATCTGCTAGTATGTAATCATTCCACCAGTCAAAATCATAATCCGGATCATAATCATCATCAGAGCCGTATGCGTCATCGTCAACATCATCAGCTTCCTTCTCTTCCAAATCTCTCGCCTCGTCTGATTCCTGGGACATTTTTAATTCCAACTCAGGGTGGTCAACAGAGACAGCGTGACTTGGAACATCAGGTTTTACGTTAACGGAGGTGTTAGTGCTGGCCTTAGCCTCTACTTTCTCTGATTCCTGGGACATTTTTAATCCCAACGAAGGATGGATTACAGAGACAGCTTCAGGTTGTACACCTTTGGAGGTGTTAGTGCTGGCCTTAGCCTCTACTTTCTCTGATTCCTGGGACATTTTTAATCCCAACGAAGGATGGATTACAGAGACAGCTTCAGGTTGTACACCTTTGGAGGTGTTCATTGCGGCCTCTGCCTCTACTTTCTCGGCATGTGCTATCAGCAAACAATCATCGATATCTTCATCATCTGCTTCATCATCGGGTTGACTAGACTCTGCCGAAGAAGAGGCTATGAATTTTGTTGGCCCTAATGACTTTCGCCGTTCCCTAGCAATTTGAACTTCAAGACTTTCCTTCCGTTTCAATCTCACCATTTTACCATTAACTGACTCCTTGAATGTGACTTGTCAGACTTATGCAGCGAAAGGAAGAATTTGTACTCTTGAGGAGTAACTATCATACATGGACAACTCCCATCACCATTAAGCTCAGCTAGAACATCATCAAACCAGTAGGAAATCTCCACCGAAACAACTCTCGGGTCTAATCCGAACTCATGCGCAATCAGATTTCTCAAATCATCAGGTCCGGACACATCTTTGCAATTTATGCACCTTCCACGACGAGATATGTCCATTTTGAAATCCCAATCTCCTATATAGTACCTTATCCATGTTCCCGCCATAACAAGAATGAACGCATCCACTGCAAATCGCAAACACCATATCTAAAAAACTACTGGCAAATAGCGAACACCAGAACAAAAAAATTCGAAAATAACAATGACTAATCTATGGGTGTACAATAATAGGATTAAGTAACTAAACGTGGTTGCTGTCCTCTTGATCATCGCATAATTTCTCCTTCAATTTCAACATCTTTTGGAAAGGGAAACTAGGGTTTCTAATTTGGTTAGGGTACTTTGTTTCTTATTTTAACCAAATTATCTCCATTATCTCTAATTAACCACAATTTTTCCCGCCAAAAATAAAAAGAGAATGGGAAGGGTAGTTTTGCGTCTAATGAGTTTGGTAGTTTCCGGCCCATAACCGAGGCCCAGTAAGGTGGTTTTTGGAAATTTCATTCCGAAATTCGAAATCAGGCCCAAAAAACGACTCAATCACGCGCGTGAGTTCTCTCTTCCCGGCTGTTACGCGCGCGGACACAGACTACTCCTGGGACCCACGGTATTTTCTGCGTCTGTCGCTCTCTAAGAGACAGACTTCTCTGTCTCTCTCTCTCTCTCTCAGTAACAAGGGTAAGTTTGGCATTATGAAAATATGTCCCTATCCTGACTAATTTAAACATAAAACTACCATTTTCTCAAATAAAAACTTTGGACCCCGGGCTTTATCTAGGTTGATGTCAAAGAATGCCTTTTTTATCTCTTCTTCTGATGGTTCAGTGAGTAAAAACAGATTAGTAGAGGAAGAGTCTTTCTCGGTAATATACCGGACTGACTCGCCCATTTCAGATGGAGATGAGGTTGGAAAGAGCTCTTAAAAATAGTGAACAGCGATTCTTTTTATTCCACATGCACTTTCCACCAACGTCCCGTTTTGATCTTTTAGGCTGATGATCCGATTACGGGCTCGTCTTTGTTTGGTTATCGCATGATGGAATTTTGTGTTGCGGTCTCCCTCCTTGTGCCATAAGGTGCAACTCTTTTGTTGCCAAAAAAGATCCTCATCTCTAAATGCTGAAATAAGTCATCGTCTCAAGTCTTCAATTTTTTCGAGAGATGTATTATCATCATCTTCGGCTATATCAATTTGGTTTTTCAGGTCTTCGATTAGCTTAGCCGAATTCGATGGATTATATCTCTTCCAACTTGCAATACTGCTACAACATGAGGTTATTTTTTTATGAAAATCCCGCCCTTGGGTAACATTAAAAGAACCCCACCCCGAGATCACTGCTTCTTTAAATCCAGGTTTCCCTATCCATCTCTTATCAAATCTAAAGCTTAGCCTCGATTTTCTTGTACTCGATTGGATACGTGCAAGGAAAGATCTGTGGTCTGAACCGCAAAGATTTAAATACTTAGTTGTAGTATGAGGAAAGAGAAATTGCCATTCCTCATTTGCAACCGCTCTATCAAGTCTGCATTTGACTTTTCCAGATCATCTTTTTCCCACCCACGAAAAATAATTTCCTTTATTCGGAAGGTCAATCATCCCGCAATTGTCTAGCATAGTGCAAAATGGAATAAAAGTGCTTTCTGCTCTCCTTCTTGCCCCTCTTTTTCGTGGTTACCTTTAATTTTGTTAAAATCTCCAATCATAAACCAAGCATCTCGTCTGTTTAGACTTATCCTTGTGAGACGTTCCCAGACTCGTTCACGATTTTTTTATTCCGGGTCTCCATATATGAAAGTCATGAAAGATCTTGTGCCCTTCAAATTTAATCTCAATATCGATCATACGATCATCCTCATATAAAATAAGAACTGATGGATCATCCATATAAAAAAGAGCGAAACCACCACTGCGGTCTCTAGGCTCAACAGTGTAAACATGGTCATAACCAAAAGAAACTTGCAATTTTTGCAGAAAAAAACTGATTGTTTTTAGTCTCTGATAAAAATAAAACGATATGAGAAAAACATTTGTGGAGTTCTTCGAGCTGCTCCTTCATCAAGTCGGCTCCCGCCCCTTGATAATTCCATGTGATCGTGTTCATCTTGGAGTCCTTAGTGGTTTCTGGATTCTCACCATATTGGATTTAGATTTGGGCTCTAGATCCTTGCTTGGGTTCTTCTTTTTCATAATCTCCGCATTATTAGGCCCAGCAAGCATTTTTTCTCTTTGATCTTTGGTGAGGCCCGGCCCATAATCATTATTTTCCTTTTTGTTGACAGCCTAGCAACTTTTGGGCTTGTGGAGACTTTCTTCTTCCTCGCCATCTCCGTACCTGCATCAGAATCAGGGAGGAGCTTCTGCGGAGAGACGATACCTTCATGAGAGGTGATTTGTGCAGATGGTGCCTTCGCAGATCTGATTTGGGATAAATCATCCGCTTCTTTCTTTGAATTTTTCAGGTTTTCTTCCACTTCAGGGAGACTTTCACAAGGTAAATTAAGACTTTCCCCATCCAAGAGGTCTTCTCCGAGTATATCATCATCTTCAAGCAGCTCTTCATCTCCATAGTATTCAGTATTGTTCAGCCATTCCTCATCATCTTCTTAGACCTTCTCAGAGTTGATCTCCCCCAGTTCCAAAATAGGATATACTTGCATCAGGTCTAGGTCATTCTCTCCATCGTCATCTTCTTCCAAGGTCATCTCATACCAACTTTTTTCCTTAGAATCTTTTATTGTAGCGTCGATTGTTGGGGAAATTTGAATTTTTTTCTGAGACTAACGAATGAACCTCAAAATTTAAGCTTTTTTTTGCTGAGCTCCCAGCTTCCGACGAGTCGACCATCTCTGCAACTTTTCCCTTAAGTTTCTGGTCAGCGGTTGATCTCTTCTGCAGGATTAGCTTGAAAGAACTCTCCCGTAAGTGTTTCGGAGAGACTGTAGCTTGTTTTGCCCTGAGAATATTTCTCTCCGAGATAGTTCTTTGAGAGTCTGAATCCTGCAACGAATCAGAGCCCTTTGCAACCCCATGGGTTAGCAGGTTTATCAAATCCTTTCATCCAGGTTATTTCGTTTCATTATCCTCTTTTCTTTTTCTCTGTGTTTGCTAGCCTTGGAAGGCTCCTCGTAACGTCTTTTCTGGTAAATCTCATCGGAGTGGTGTGAACTCTCCCTCCCACGGGAATAAAAGTCAATGTGAGGCTCACAGTGAGGATTGCCACGAGATACATATCTGTTAGAGGGGTCGATGCGTTTCCAAACGCTATCTCTCCCTTGAGGAGGCTCATCTCTAGCAGTTGCAGGTGAACCCGAATGATTCAGAGAGGAGGAGTGAATACCTCTGCTGTCTTTATGATTATCCCTTGGAGCTTTCTCAATTTTTTTCCTTTCTTGGGCGGGAGCATGTCGGCCTTCCAATGGATGATGTCGGCCTTCTATTGGAGCGATTCTCTGAGCTCCTTCTCCATTCCTCTGGTATTCCATTCTGGTAATGTTTCCTTGCTCTCTAGCTGCCTCTCTTTCAATTC